AGTGTATTTTGGCATAAAATGTAAAATGCACTTTACATTTACTGAATTACTAAATATCCACATATTTGTGAATAACCTTAAAGCAGAAGTGCCCAAAAGGTAGAGATCCCCAGATGTTTTAAAATTACAGCTTCCATGATGCTTTGTCATTATAAAGGCATTTTAAAGGCATGCAACGCATCATGGGAGTTGTAATTCTACATCTGGGGATCTACCTTTGGGGCACCCTTGTCTTAAAGGAACATTCCATTGTCAAAAAGCAATTTAAACATTTTTTGTAAATCACGATTAATTAGATATACCCCAAATCAATTATGCCTCCATTTTGTTACTTTGGGTATATCTAAAAACAGCTTGCAAATGATGCATACCTGCTGTCTGCAGCCTTTTCAACGCACCCGTCTGGAAAACACCAATCAGAGGCTTCTGACTGCTTAGCCTGTGAGCTGGAGTCAAGTTCCAATCAGACAGCCAAGGATGTGTTTCTGCCCTCAATATAAAAGTTCTAATTTCTTTTAAACTCGGCATCCTTGTAAACTGTCACAAACATGACAAACTCCAGACACATAAAGTACTTCAACAAGCTGGAGTGTTTTATGTGCTTGGATTGTTCCATTAAAATTGTTATGTGCTTTGCAAAAGTAGTTTAGAATTATTTGTCCCACTTTTTGAATGTATTAGGGAAGGTGATTTAGGTTTTAAGTAGTTTTTATTTAAAGGGACTCTCCAGGCAGCAGTTTTTACTCACCTGGTTCCAGCACCGGGAGCCTCGTGAAGCCGCGCCCCCTATTTCATCAAAATGACGAAATAGGTGGGCGCGAGCAGGAAGCAATCAGACACTTCCATTTGGAAGCGTCATTCCTCCCTTGTGCGCATGCGCGGCTTCGCCGTACATGCGCACATACTTCAGAGGGTGGCATTCATTCCGCCCTCTGAAGTCCTGAGCGTACTACTGTGCATGCGCGTGGTGAGCTGACTGACAGCTCAGCTCGCGGTCCTTGCCCCCCCTCCTCTGCTGACAGGCAGAAGAGAGAAGGTGCGCACACAGTGCCTTCTCTCTCCTGCACACGTCAGACGTATTTTAATATGTCTGACGTGTACAGGGACTTTTTAAGGCCCTGCATGATAGGAAGTCCCTCTGGTTGCCGTCTGAATGACGGCCACTGGAGGTATTCCTATCAATGTAAACACTGTATTTTCCCTGAAAATACAGTGTTTACATTAGGTTGCCTGCAGGGAGCTATAGATCTCACCTGAACAACTACATTAAGCTGTAGTTGTTCAGGTGACTATAGTGTCCCTTTAAGGTTTGGAGTTATGTACTAATAGCAACTATAATGCAAATACCTCCAAGTAAAGCAATCACAGTGGAAACATATGGAATGTTGCTGAAGTTTGCTCTGATTTTTGACTTTGCCCAAGAATTGTTTTCTACATATCACTGTCCCTTTTTCATGTTTTCTTTTCACTTTAACCAAGGGATTGTTCCTTTAGAAATTTGTTCATGCTTACTTTCAGCACATCTTCTGACACCGTTGATGGAGCTGCTTCTGATGCATCCATAACTCACCAGTGCTATTTCATAAACCTTTATAAATTAGTGGTAGTCTGCCTCTACCTTAAGGATGGAGTGACTTGCTCCCAGTGTGATAGAATTCAGTAGTAATTTAAGGCTTGCTCACCCCTCTAGAACTACCGCAAAAACCCACTTACTTAATAAACCTTTTATTTGCTACTCCTGTTTAGTACAGAGTATGTCACAGTGAATAGGGCCAACAAAACAACCTCACTTTTTAATTACATGGACTCAGACCTCCCAACATTTAAAGTTGACAACGATGAACACTAATTTTAGAGGTGTGAGGGTGATTGTGGCCATGAGCAGTACTGCTCTGAGAAGTTTTACTAATAAAAATATATGCAAATAAAATGTAATTTAGAAAAGGAACAATGTATCTTATTTACAGAGTTATTTCTAAACACATTTATTGTAGTTTAAAAACACATTATTGTGAGTATTATTGCTGTGTAGATCAGACACACCAACAATATAGAGCTCATAGAAAAGAGGGACATTAGGATGGTAAAGAGGGACTTATTTTGGGTCCAAAATAAGGACTGTCCCTCCTAAATAAGGACACTTGACAGGTATGAAAGTCCTGGAAACATCCTGTAGGAATGATTGTCCATATTAACTCAATTGCTTCTGCTCATGCAGATGTTTTTTAAGCACCCATTCATACAATAAACCTTCCATCTCAACCTGAAGGCACTCTAGTTTGGTGAAGGCTGGTAAATGACTGGACTTTTTTTTGGCATATGGGTTTGACTGATAGAGGCTGCTGGAGATTTATGGTACGTTATCAAGAATCCCTGCGACTTTCATTAGTGTGATCTGCACAGCATTCACAGGAATGTTTGCATGCCTAAGTGATTAAATCTATTTTTCAAAACTCTGTTGGCACCTATCTCTCATATCACCCTGCAGAGTTTTGCAAAAACTTCAGTATCACGCATATTCATAATAGTCTGGCAGGTCAGTTAGTCCAGGAAATATCGTACATGGTCCAATAAGTCCTAGAAAGCTTACCTAGATTACCTCCCCCGTCTCGAACACACCCATACAGTGCTGGCTTGCCATGGCACTGCACAATTCCTGCTGCCTCTTTTCTGCAGTACTCTGCAAATAGACAACCCAACATATTTCTCCAGTTGCTTTTAATCAGCAGAAGACATGCCTCAAGGCTGCAGGCCACAAACCCTGTATGCCAGTGACCTGGCAGACAATTGCCCATTGCATGCCACTGAACTAGTGTCAGTTCTAAAGGATGATGGGGGTTCTAGTTTGGAGGACTACGCACTTATCTAAAACATAGCAGTGCAGATGTAATTTTATTGTGTCAGTTTTTATAATTTATTTGTTGTCATATTATTTATGAATTATCTATATAATGGATTAAAAACTATGTGTGTGGGAAATTTTACATAGAAAGGCCCTTTAAACTGATAAATTAGACAAGTGTGAGGTAGGCTGAACTTGATGGACGCAAGTCTCTTTTCAGCTATGTAACTATGTAACTAAGTTAATAATTTGACAGTTTAACTTCCAAACAGCAATAGGTAAAAAAAAAAAAAAAGCTCAGCTTAGCCTCCACCTCCTTACACCTGACATACAGGCACACACAAACAGATATACATTCTCATTGATTATCACAAACAGGTACACACTGACACATACATGTATACAAACACACACACTTGTTCGTAGACACTGAGAATATGAAATGGAATAGGAATGGGCAAAAAGTTCAGAAAGCTCAATAGCTTATGCTTCGCGTACTCCCCGCTAATAGACAGATCCACAGTCACACACAGCTAGGCAGGCAGACACACCCATTTACACTGCTAGACACAAACATTTTCAGTACCAAACAAACACACATGCTCTCAGAAACAGATACAGGCACACGTTAAAAACATACACATTGTAAGACACAACCAAACACATGCACACATTTATCCAGAAAGCTCAGTTCAAGAGAGAAATGGAAGCCGTGAGGGAAGTCAACGTGGATGTTCACTTCAGTTGTGGTCAGAAATGCATTCCAGTTGACATTTATACCTCCCCAAAAAGACTGTACAGTGTGGCAACGCCTCTTGCACACCTCAGTATTCAGTCAGGCCCTTTACTGTTGGTAACCCGAGCCCCTGACAAACTTTAAGATCTAGAACTGCCTTGATTGAAAAGTATTTAGCTTTTTCCAGAGTAGCACCAGATAATTGATTTAAAATAATAAAATAAACAAATTACAAATAAAGCAATCTTTGTAAAGGTGCATATCCCCGCTTTTAGTTACTTGAGGGAGAGTTAAAGGGACACTATAGTCACCAAAACAACTTATCCCCATAGTGACCAGACATAAATCTCAGAATCACACCTCACATGTACATATATTATTTTAAAGTAGGCAACTCATGGTATTCAAGTCTTTTTTAGTAGCCATGTAATCACAAACACTGGACAACGATAACATTTATATTTGTTTGTGTGTTAAAAATGCAAAAAACAATTATGAACGCTAACTTTGGCAAGTGTTTGTGACTAAGTGGCTACTAAAAAAGACTGAACATACCCCATTTGCAATACCTTGGGTTGTCTACTATTGCAAATGGTATGCCATCATGGGGGTAATTCCATTCCTGGGCTACCATACAGTCTCAAAGGCAACGTAACCAATCTGGCGAATTTCAATGTAAAAAACTGAAAAGTGTAACATGCTATATTTGACCCTGTAACTTTCCAAAACACCATAAAACCTATACATAGGGGGTACTGTTTTACATGTGAGACATCGCTGAATACAAATATGTGTATTTTATTGCAGTACAAGCAAACAGTATTATGACATTCACAATTAGAATGTCACGTAGAACTAAACATTTTTTACAAATTCTTATTTTCTCCCATTTTTTTATATTTTATTCATATTAAATTATGATTTATACCTAAATATTTGATGTTAAATGAAAGCCCTGTTTCCCCTGAATAAAATGATATACAGTTGCAAAAGTATGTGAACCCTTTGGAATGATATGGATTTCTGCACAAATTGGTCATAAAATGTGATCTGATCATCATCTAAGTCACAACAATAGACAATCATAGTCTGCTTAAACTAATAACATACAATGAATGAAATGTTGCCATGTGTTTATTGAACACACCATGTAAACATTCACAGTGCATGTCCCCTTCTCTATACTTGAGTCTTATACAGAGTGTCAGCCACCGGCATTTGACATCATTATGGCCTTCAGTTCTATGTGTATGAAGGATCAACTTACCGCCATCGTTCCTCGCACCTCCTAACTGCTGGCAACATACTATGGCTACATTATTTGTAACAGCAATTAGCTGTTAACTGGTGGGACAGTCTGGCCCTGCAGACAGCTAGGGACATGCACACACCTCCTCTTGTATCATAGAGGAAGTATGTGCAGTGGTAATGAGGGGAAGGGACAGTCTGTGAGTATGGTGAGTTGACGCCAGCTTCAATGGTAGTAGCCAACAATCCCCCACAAGGTCATTGTATACAGCAGCCACTGCTTGTAAACTCTGTCGGCCACCTGACATCCCCATACCATGGTGCCGTGTGTAGCCAAACAGCTCAAACATCCCAAATGCCAGCCCTTTTTATATACACACACACATTCACTCATACACAAATAAATATATACATATATGCAAAACAAATGAAAGAGTACTAGTACAAAAAGAAAAAGACAATCATGATTGCTACACATCAAAATATAATGTCTCCTCTACGAAAAACACCACAGATAGAAATAAATTCTTAAAGAGTTTCTCCAACCCTTTTTCATAGTTAATAGAATAATGCCCTTTTAGCGTTTTTTAGGGGGGAACATAGAATAATGCCAATAGAGCACTACACTCAAAGATTTCTGTCTTTGGTCCCCTACTCTTCTCCATCTATACTGCCTCTCTTGGGAAACTCATCAGCTTCTTTGGCTTCCATTATCATTTTTATGCAGATGACACACAAATCTACCTGTCCTCTTCTGATCTTTCTCAGCCCATCTTGACTCGTGTCTCTGACTGCCACTCTGTGATTTCCAACTGGATGGGTGCTCACTTCCTTAAACTCGACATGTCCAAAACAGAACTTCTGGTCTTTCCTCCATCAAGTGTTGCTACTTCCATGTCTGTCTCCCTCCAAGTCAACGGCGCCACCATCATCTCTACCTCGCAGCCTAGGTGTTCTCTTTGACTCCGACCTCTCCTTCACCCCTCATGTCCAGTCGGTAGCCAAATCCTGCCGCTTCCATCTCAAAAACATAGCTCACATCCGCCCCTATTTAACACCAGACGCAGCTAAGATGCTGGTCCATGCCATTGTACTGCCTTGACTACTGCAATCCCCTTCTCAGTGGTCTTACGTGTTCCCAGATTGCACCGCTGCAATCTATAATGAATGCGGCGGCAAGGCTCATTTTCCTGTCCGCCCGCACCTCCCACGTCTTCCCCTCTGTCAGTCCCTACATTGGCTTCCACATAGATATAGGGCTCAATTTAAGATTCTAGTGCTTGCTTACAAATTAAATCCACACTCACAAAAAAGAGCCAATGATGGACTCTCAGTAACTGCCTCTCTGGGTTCTTGAGGCCACCCAACAGCCGATATGGTATCTCTACTACAAAGATTGTTTTCCAGCTGGGCAGATAGTCTCAGCTGTAGAATCAAAGTGAGAGAAAGAGGAAGAGAAAAACAATGTACTATGAAAGAACTAAAAGGTATGCTAACAATTATCAACCCACATTATTCTAAGGAGGCTCTACCATGTAGACAATTAACAATTGTTTGATCTCTAGTCACAACCTCAAAAAGCCATAAAGAGAGATACTGCTGGAAAGCAGTAAAATTAAATGATAAATATTTAATAAAAATGAATGTAATCAAAACAGGGTGTATTTCCCACACGCGTTTCGCCTCAATTTATGTGGCTTCCCTTGAGGTTTTGCCCGGAGATCAAACAACCCATAATAACAATTAACAATACACTTTTTATGTTGAGCAAAATTCTTTAACACTTTTGCTTATTTATATTGTAAGTGTGTTTTTTTTCACAGTTATGTTTCTGTGGTGTTCTACAGAGCATAATGTCTCACTGGAACAGTACATGGATTACATGGGGTTAGGTACACACATACTGTGGCATTCATAGGAATGGTATCAAATGCCCTAATGTGAGCCAAGAAAAGACATCCACATGTCCACCACCACAAGACTTAATAGTTGACACAAATCTGGATAGACCAATTGATTCAAGAAGTTTAAACCAGGTATGCCTAATTAATTGGCCAATAAGAGTGAGATTGTAAACAGACAGACAAGCAGAAAGACAGACAGACATAAGAATAATACATTCAGCCCCAGCAATGCATTCAGCTGGTATAATTCAAACTTCAGATGTATTAAAGGAACACTATCGTTCAGCCTTATTTAGGTGACCAAAAGTTGCCCGGAAGTCCCTTTACTGGCTGTGGTAGACAGCCACTATAGGAGAAATTAACCCTAGCAGGTAATTGCATGCTCAGGGTTAAGGGTGATAGGACATTGCACCCAGACCACTTTAGCTGAAATGGTCTGGGTGCCTACAGTGTTCCCTTAAGAAAGGTCAATGTTGGATAATCTCTCTCTAATTCTCTTTAACAAATGTTTTTTAGCTCAATTAAACATGTGGGTTTCCTTGTGTGGACATCTAGCTTTAGGTGCTGTCACAACATATTCACAAGTTTTAGTGGTTGAGCTATGAATAGATTATTTAAAAATATCAGTGACTTGCTTTCAGTTCATCTTCAAGTAATGCAATCTGTGCTGGACTCACCCGCCTTGCTGCCCCAATGCCAGTTACCTCAACAAACCCCCTGTACACATACACACACAAAATGAAGTGGCAGTGCTGGGTTACATTAATATCCAGGTTTGTTGCTAACAGACTGAATGAGCAGGGAAGTAACTGTGCGTCATGGATGTGTGCAAACTGCCTTTGCTACCTCCCCTATATTTCAAGCATGCCTGCCCTAAAAGATCCTTGTACAATCCACAACTCCTTGCTAAATGATCTACCACTACCCATCTACTAATACTTTCTGTCTCTGTCCAACATAGAAAACAGAAAATGTGAATATTACTCTATAAGACACTGAAGGTCACAGTCGTCACAATCTGCACACGCCTCCCTCACTCAAGACTATTACTTTACTTACATTAATCCAATCCTTCTGCTAATGTTCCCACACCATTCTTCCCTGTCCACAATTACTTATCTTAAAATATTCCCATCACTTCCTGACTCCCCAACTTTTGCTGTTACACTGCCATTCACAATAAATAACTAGAATGCACCGGCACCTTGTGCGAAAATTGCCCTGGACCCCTCCTCTTATGTGTCTTGTATTGGAGCCCTAGTCCTGGCAGAGACTTTTCTCCGCTGGATCACCAAGAGTAGAAATCAGGAACAAGAAATTGCCAAGTAAATAGCCCACCTCCTCCCCAGCAACTGGACGACACACGTTCTGGGAGTACAACTGACTTTATTCTGCCACACATGGCTTTTATGCATTGTCCCTAGCATGGAGTTTCCAGATAAAAAAAAAAAAAAAGGGGTTCTTTCCCAAGAGCCTTTGTGGTTGAGAGATAATTGAGCTCAATTTAAGATAATTCAATAATCCCTCAAATACAGATACTTTCATACAGTTTTAACATAACAGGAATACAGGAACACCACAAAAATCATATTCCTGAATAGCCCTGATCTGGGTGCACAACATATCCCCAAAGCACTCAGATCGGTTTGGTAGAGCGAAAGTTATTTTAAAATAAAATTTTGACAGACGAATGCTTCCCCTGGCTGCTATGGAGCGAATGCTCCCCCTGTTCTGTAGAACATATCCCCCAAACGTCTTTCATCTAGATGGTTGGGAAGTTGAATGGGCAGCGGTACAAACTTCGTCTGGGCTCGCGGAAACGTGAGTCCGAAAATAGTTCCAGACGTTCGAAGACCAGGTACCGCTGCCTGCATCAGGAGACAAAATGTCCGTCATGCACTGGACCACGTGTTCGGTTATATGAATGGCAACCACCCACGGAAAGCACTCAAGCAAAGGTGTCAAGTCATTAATTTGTGGTTAACAGTCACAGAAGGTTGGTGTTCGCTGGGACATAACAAGGGGGCCACACACCAGTCATTCGTGAGACGAACAAGGGGGTACGGACAACCGAACAAAAGGGAACGGAGTCTGCTACAATGCTCCCCCGTAACCACAAGCTGGCATACACAGTCTGATCCTGATGGATTGGCTTGGGGATGTCCGGAGGTGCTCACGGTTCACTTTGTCTGTCTGGACAACCCGTCAGCATTCCAATTTTGTTTCCCGGGGGGGGTAGTTTATTGTGAAGTCAAAAGGCTCCAGCGCCAAACTCCAGCGCAGCAGCCTCGCATTGTCCCCTGCCACCTGGTTTAGCCATACCAATGGGTTGTGATCAGTGAGCAAGGAGAATGGTTGTCCGTACAAGTATGGCTGTAACAATTTTAGGGCCCATACCACGGCCAGGCATTTCTTCTCGATGGCGACATTTCTCGGGGTAACAGCTTGCAACTGATGTAAACCACGGGATGTTCTCCGCCATTGGCTCAGTACTGCTCGCACTCCAAACATGTATGAACAAGAAACCGTTTAGTTGGAATGGGAGCTGCCAAGACAGGGGTATTCACAAGGGCCTATTTCAACTGCTGGAATGCCTGCTCACACTCCGGGGCCCAGACTACTTGGCAGCGAAGGTTGTTTACGGGTAAGGGGCTTGGCCAGGACACTCCGGCACAAACTTATTATAGTACCCTGCCATCCCAAGGAAGGCTAACACCTGAGTCTTTGTCCTGGGGGTAGGGCACTGGGCAACTGCCTCAATTTTAGGGGGCTCTTGCTTTTGCTGCCGCATCCCACTCTGTGACCGAGGTACTGCACCTCGGCCATGCCTATATTACATTTGCTGGGCTTAAGCATTAAGCCTGCTTCCCTAATTATATTTAGGACCGCTCCTATATGGGCCAAGTGTTCCTGCCAGGTATCGCTGAAGATGGCAATATCACGCAGATATGCACAAGCATAGTCTTGGAACCCACTGAGGAGCCGGTCCACCATTCTCTGGAACATAGCCAGAGCTTTTTTTTTATCCCGAACGGCATGACCCAAAATTGGTACAGATCAAACACAGTGATAAAGGTCGACTAGGGATGGCTTCGGTGGCTAGGGGATCTGACAGTATCCCTTATAAAGATCAATTGTAGTGAGGTACTGGGCCCTAGCCATCCGGTCAAGCAGCTCATTTATCCTAGGCATGGAATAGGTGTCCGACACAGTCTTATCATTTAACCTCTGGTAGTCTACACAGAAAACGGGTCGTACTGCCCATTTTTGGCACTAGGACTACTGTTGGAGGACTCAATAACCCCCATTTGGAGCATCTCCTTTCGCAAATTCTCCCATACCATTTCAGGGATTCGGTATGGGGGTTACCGTAGTGGGAGCTGATCTGCATCTCCTTCTGTATATTCTCCTGTACAGATTCAGGGATTTGGTATGGGGGTTGGCATAGTGGGAGTTGACCTGGTGTCAAAGGGGTGTACCCGGGCACATTGCAGAAAGGTGGCTTTCTGCAGTACTTGGGTACGCTCCTGAGGACTCAGCCATTCTCCCAACTTGACCTCCTCTAACTCGCCTGTCTGACTCCCGTCCCCTAGGATGCCTGGTAGGAAGAGGTTATCAAAGTCTTTGGACACAGGGGTGCAGATCGACGGCACTTCCTCCGCTTTTCATCCTAGGGCTTCAGCATGTTCACATGGAGCATGCGTCGCCCTCTCGCTCCAGAACAAGGGCCGATCACATAGGTGGTGTCACAATTCTGCTCTACCGCCTGGTAAGGGGCCGGCCAGGCTGTCTGTAGCTTGTCATTATGGGCAGGTTTTAAAACTAAAACTTTCTGTCCTACCTGAAAGCTACGGTCCTTGGCTGCCCGATCATACCATGTGCGCTGGTGGCTCTGCGCCACCTGGAGGTTCGTTCTTACAGTTCTAGTCAATTCCTCCCGGTGGTCACAGAACTCCAGTACATATGGAAATATGGAGGTCCTGTCCTGGCTGGTATAACCTTCCCAGTGCTCTTTGATAAGGTCTAGGGGCCCCCTCACCCGCCTCCCGAAGAGTAGCTCGAACAAGGAGAACCCTGTTGGTTCCCTGGGCATCTCCCGGTACGCAAACAGGAGGTGCAGCAGGAACCTCTCCCAGTCTCTCATTGAACCACTTGCATAGGCCATTAGTTTGGGGGTGGTAAGGCAATCAGCTTAATGCTGTAGAGCCTCCAAAAATGGTGTGTGACCTCTGCAGTAAATTGGGAGCCCTGATACAACACTATATCCCGGGGAAATCCCATGCAGGAGAAGATTCGCATCAGGGCTTCCGCAACCTTTACTGCATGAGTGGTCAGCACCTCTGGGTAACTGGTCACGTAGTCCACCACCGTCAAGATATATTTGTTGCCAGAGTGGCTAGGCTTAGCTAAGGGCCCCACTAGTTCTACCGCTATCATGATAAATGGTTCCTCAATAATGGGGAGAGGGTGGAGTTTGGCCTTGCGGCGATCTCCACTCTTGCCTACTCTCTGGCAAGTATTGCACATTTGCCAATACCGCCTAATGTCTTGGGAGATACCTGGCCAAAAGAAATTCTGGATGTGCCGATACCTTGTTTGGCTAACCCCTAAATGCCCGGATAGCGGAATGTCATGAGCTATCCGGAGCAGTTCCTTCCTGTACCTCTGAGGTACCACTAGCTGCCTGGTAGGAATTTGTTCTGACCCAGCCACTACCCTCTCTGATTCTCGGTAGATAAGTCCCTTTTCTCACACATACCTCTCTCGCTTTAACCCATCCAGACTGGAGGTCCCTGTATACTTGTAGCTTGGGGTCAGTGGTCACCTCTATCCTAAACTCAGTGGGGCTATCCCAGGGGAAACACTCATGTTGTGGGCCTGTTGCCTGGTGACCACCGGGTATAGTTCCTCCAGCTGCATTTAGGGCTCAAAAGTGGAAGTGAGCTTTCCCAGATGGCTTCCCAATAACACCTCTGCAGGCAGCTCCTGCATCAGTCCAACCTCCACCATTCCAGACCACGCTCCCCAATGTAAATGTACCCGGGCAATTGGCAACTGATAAAAAGCCCCCCCCCCCCACTACCCGAACTGCCACAGAGTTTTTGGTTTCAATCTGTTTCAGGAACCTGGTGCCTCTTGACTAGGGTGAGGGTGGCTCCCATTTTTCTAAGCCTTTGGACCATTTTGCCCTGTAGGTGCACGGTCTGTTGGTGGTGCTGTCTATTGTCAGCCGCACTTGAACTGGGTCTGCTTCATGAAGGACTTCCCAGTTCTCCTCAGGTGGTCCTGGAGTGGCATAACGTGTGAGGACCTCAGTGTGGTAATAGTAGGAGGCTGCTCTGGTTGCTGGAGGGGGCCCGGGACGGATCTATTGTGCCCGGACCCTATTCTGGGGACAGTCCCTTTGCTGTTGGAAGTGTGGTGCAGGGGTGTTGAAGGTGCCTGTACCTCTGGATTGTGCTTTGGTCCTGGAGGGGGTAACACTGGTCGGGTGAAGATCTTTGGCTGGACCAGCCTTTGATGTTGGCGGGCATCTAAGTATTCATCTGCCTGCCTTGCTGCCTCTGTGATGGGGTTGCGGCGCGCAGCCACTCTTGTATCTATGGAGCCAGCCCATTTAAAAAACTGTTCCAATAGCACCAGCTGCAACAGTTCTTCCATGGTGCTCACTTAGTGAGCTTGTACCCATCCCAGGGCGGGTCTGTGTAGCCAGCATGCCCACTTGGAACTGCCTGTGATATTCCCCCCTGTGTCTCATTCTTGCACCCAGGCACCCCCATGTGCCTCATTTCCTCAACCCCAAAGCCCCCTCAATGTGTTCCATACCCTCCTCCCCCCAGCCCCTCCATGTGTCCCATTCTCTCTCCCCTCAGCCCCTCCATGTTTCTCATACCCTCCTCCCTCCCATCCCCCTTTAATGTGTCCCATTCTTCCCTCTCTCCCCCTCCCTTCTATGTGTCTCATACCCTCCCTCCCCCCTCCCATATCCTATTGTTCCCTTGCTACTCTCCAGGTGTCCCATTCCTACCTCTCTCCCACCACTCCGTGTCCCATACCCTCCCTCCGTCCCCTCATGTGTCCCATTGTTCTCTCTCTCCACTCTACCCTCCCTGTGTCCCACTCCTACCTCTCTCCCTTCCTGTGTCCCATACACTCCTGCTCTCCCTCCCCTCACTGTGTCCCATACTCTCCCTCTCTTCTCTATGTGTCCCACATCTCCCTCTCTGCCCTCCATGTGTCCCATTCCTACCTCTCTCTCCCCTCCAGTACCAGCATTTCTCTGCCGCGGTTCCGGTCTGACAGGAAGTGCTCTCTCACTAAGCAATTCCTGTCAGACCGCTCTGCCCACTACATACAGGCAGAAGGGGAGCAGCACAGCTCTCCCTCCTGCCAGCATCAGGAACCGCGGACCCGGGCCAGTGCGACTGTGCACCGGCCTATAAGGTATCCAGGTGGCCCATGCGACCCCAGCTATGACCCCTGCGACCGAGGTAGGTACGCCACTGGTCTGCACGTTACTTGACTGCAGGCTCCTTCATATACCATCCTCTCTTAACTCTTCCAATTAAATAAATTACACAACACTATTTTAGTGTGTAAGGGCAACGGCCACAGCATTATTTTCCTTAACAACCAGCCAAAACAAACCAGTCAGCTGCAGGTTTGACCCAGCAGACAGTTCACAATTTCTCCCGAGTCTCTTCAGCCTGTCATTTGCTCTGCCAAATCAGGCTGCGACTCCCCATGCCCTTCGGGCAGTGTTGCTCGAAATCTTGCTGGTGCAGGAAACCCGTAGCTGTGACCAAGATAAAAAACAAACACACACACAAAAAAAAACAACAAACAAGCAAGCCCTCTTCATTATATCAACAGTGGAGGCATGGCAGGAAAATTCTCCACCAGGATCCCTCAGCTGTGCTCCATTGGTCTGGTAAGTTTTTCCAGGATTCCTTGTTTCATAGTCATAGACCCAACATTGTAACCAATTTGGCTACCATGCCAAAAACTCCAGGTACCAGTAATGCTGCCCCTCCTCATTCACTCCAGGAGTTGGCCTTTCCACCAACTCCTACTACTACTTGATTCTACACAGACTCTTCTCTCAGTCCTTCTTTCTACCAAGTAAAAATGTGATATATATGCCTTAATTGCCCACTGCTCTAACTTGACTCACTCTTAACCAGGAAATTGTAATGTGGCTTTAAAATCAGTCTGGGTCTTGTCCTGACAAAGAGTGGCCTGAGAAGTAGGTTGCGTTAAGGCCTAATGTAGTTAACAGCATGCGGACATAGAGCATGAATATGACAGTGGTGAGTATAGTACCATGTAGCTCTAATAAAGGTTGGTGTGGATGTTTTGCATTGAGCTAAGAAAATTGACCAGTGTTTCCACTGAGCACCATTGATTATGCATAGGATAGTAGGGTATGTCAACTGTGTGCCCCATCTGGCTAGTTAGAAGCGAGTGAAAGGACATGGTGACACCAGTAATTTGTGGATATGGCACATTTAAGGTAATCCGTGGAGGCGAGGTTGATGGCTGTGAAATCTCTTGGCTGTAGGAGCCATAAAACCCAGGTAAATACGTCGGTTATTATGGATTTTTATTTGACCTTTTTTGGGGCTGATTTTAGAAGAAAGAAAACATTGAATGGTAAGTTTTATTTGTTTTACAGGTACTTAGTTAAAGGTCCCCCCCTCATTATTTTTAGGGTGAGGGGGGTAAGTAGGGGGTTAATTTTTTTTGAAGGGGAGGGGGTGACTAGGGGTTTGGGGACCCCTAGTCACCTGGGGGGGTAACATTTTTTTTTAGGGCCCCTACCCGCCGCTCAGGGGTGGGGGCCAGGGGGGAGGACAATAGGCCCCCCCTATTGGTATTTAGGGCCCCCACCCAGTGCTCAGGGGTCGGGACCAGGAGGGAGGACATTAGGTCCCCCCCTTATTAGTATTTAGGGCCCCCACCCACCGCTATGGGGTGGTGTCCAGGGGGGAGGACCTTGGGTCCCCCCCTATTAGTATTTAGGGCCCCCACCCGCCGCTCAGGGGTGGGGGCCAGGGGAAGGACATTAGGTCACCCCCCTTATTAATATTTAGGGCCCCCACCCACCGCTCAGGGGTGGGGGCAGGGGGGGAGGGGCAATAGGTCCAGGCAGGGGGGGAGGGGCAATAGGTCCCCCCTTTAGTTTAAAAGCTGGGTCGGGAGGGGGGACCCTATTTTTTTTTTAGTATTAGTAAATTTCCCTGAAAGACCAATTTAGGTCTTTCAGCCTTTTGGTAGATAACTCCATAATACCGTAGAAATTAGGGAGTTATCTACTAAGTGGCTGCAAGAGAAATCCCGAAGTTCCGAGGTGCCGAATTGCGAAAGTCCTGAATTTCGGAATGCTGAACCGAACCAAAGATTTTCCCCATGCACATGCCTAGTACAAACCTTTAAACTGAACCTGGGGACATAAGTGATGAGATACGTAGGTACTGACATATCTATAAGGTTGACACAATAAACCTTACTTAACAATTCAATACCATAGCAATACTTTAAGGATTTAACATGGATACAAATAAAAAAGAGAAAAGACACAGAGAGAAAAATAATAATAA